TGGCTGCCAGGGAGGTGGGGTGGCGAGGGGTTGCCCTTGGGGTGCTGCAGAGTCCAGGAAGCGTTCGGGGAAGGGCGAGGGCCTGTCCTGGGTGCCCGCTAGCTCTCCCCAAGCACACCGCCAGCCCCAGGAGATGGGGCGGATGCTGTGACCTTGGGATGCAGCGTGTGCCATGGATCCCGAGCAAGGAGCGCGCCGAGAGGGCTGTCCTGAGCCACCGCTGGACTGGTGGGAGATGCTGCTGCTTCCCAGCTCCTGAGCGTGTGGGAAGGGGCTGGCCGGCTGCTGGGCTTGCTCGGCCCCCGCTCCGCGGGGAGTTACCTTAGCGGTTCCTCACCTTAGGCAGAAGAGGGGCTGGACGCACCTGGAAAGGCGAGTCATTCCAGAAAGGTCAGCCACTTAGTCCAGCAAAATGGAAATTTCTGTTGCTGAATGACAGAGGTTTTTGTAAAATATGGGGAGATTTCACCTCTGGAAATGCTGCATGTAGGATCTCAGAGGCTTGCAAAAACACTGTCAAGCTTCAAGGCACCGTTATTTTGTAGGCAATTAGGAGTAGTGTGAGGATTTTCTGCAGCACTGTACACAGTTTTATCTGAAAAGACTAAAAGAGGAAACAGTGTCAAACAAGCTCAATTTTAAAACTTGAGAGATGTTTAAATATAGATACTTTAAAACATCAGTGGTTCTAGGTAAGAACCTAGGTTATGAACCTCAAGCGTGTACGTAGTCCTCTTGATTTCAGTTCATCCGTACAGTTGTGCTTGCGCATGATCTTTGCAGAACTAAAGCATCTGTCTGTAGAACTTTAGATTTAAAAGACCAGAGACATCCATGAAGTACTGCTGAACTAAATCAACTTCAGTGTTCCTCTCACTGCTTGGTGAAGTAATTGATTTCTTTTTCAAGTGGGACTTTTCACAAAGGAAGAGGATAAAATTTAAAAACAGAGGAAGAAATGTATCAGAAATTACACGGAAATGTGTATGTGAAGATACTTCTGTTGTACGTAAATACAAAGTAATTTCAGTTGGACTAGGTGATTGGTGTAGGTCTCTTCCAACTGAACTGTTCTATTCTTATGGATAAAACATCAAAAGGCATTTTAGTGAAAATTCCCCTGCTTAAAATCAAATGGGGTTAGATGTGGCAGGATCAAAACCATTTTCTTTAAGAAGTCTTTCTGTTTTCCTTGAGATGGTTTGTTTGGCTAGACTTCTGTAGTTGTCTAAGACTTAAAGCAAAAAGTGATACTGGAGACCGAACAATGGAAAAAAGGTGAAAATACTTCTTAGTGGTCTGACAAAAGAGATTATTAATCTGTTTGCTGGAAAGCATTCTAATAAAGCTAGGCAGCTTGTTTGCTTGTTACTCATCATGATCCCTAATGAAACTGAGGGGACAGTTACCAGTTCTTTGGGAACATGGAACAAATAGCCTGGTGGCATCTACTGTGTCTTCTAGGTTCGTAATTCAGCAGCATCATATCCTTATGATGTAGACAGAGAAACAGAGGCTAGGGGCTTCAGAATGATTCAAGCAATTGTCTGCTTCCCTGGAAATTAGGGAACAGGGCTAAGTTCTCTCATTCGTACCAAATTTTGTTTTACGGTGTGAGTGATGACAACTTACTTTGGACAGCAAGCGTTTCCCAGCCCTGCTGAAGGGTTTACCTAGGTTTTGAGAGCAGTTTGAGTAGCCCTTGCAGGAGGGTGAGAGGTTCTGAGAAGGTGAGGTGAGTACCAGGAATGAAAGCTTATCCAACTGTACATGCATAAGTCTTTTCCTCCCTCACAGGTCAGAGGCTTTAGGGTCTGCCTGCACGGATGGAGTCCAGACAGACAACGAACTACCATTCCTGCCCACTGGCTGCCTGCTTCCTGCCTGCCTGGAAATAATATAGCAATGTTAGTGGCACGCTGTACGATGCCTGTGATGCCTGCTGAGAGGCTGGG